ATTAATTCGAGGAGTAGAAAGTAATGTTCTAGGATCACTAGGTAAAGTCGAATGACCCCCCGATGATTTTAATATTTTCAATAAACCTCTTAGTGCACTATGACTTATATTATTAGTAATAGCCCATAAACGTAAATCTTTTTTAAAGTCATTTTCGTTATTATTGTTGCTAATTGAGGAATTTAAACTTTTTACACTGCTACAAGACATATTTGGTGAACTATCATTAAAATGATTATGTGTATTAATAGAAATATTTTCTAAAACATCATCAGAAATCTCATTAAAATCAATATCATCGTTGTCATTATTATTAGTTTCAGTATTGATATTATTAGTATCATCGTTATTGTCAATGTTATTATTAATATTTGTAGTATTCTGCAGTTGTGAAAGTTCTAATAAAATAGCTGTATTGTGACGTAACTTTCTATAAAATGTTGTTTTTGAATGTTCCATATTTTTATACAATATAGTAATTAATAAAAGATAAATAATGTTAAATAAATAATGAATATACGATATACAACACTACTATACATACAACTATTATACATATGCATATAATATTCGATTACTACATGTTTTCGAAGACAATATATTATTAGATATGCAACTATATACTGATTTGGGATAACGAAAGTACAAACTACAAATATTTAGTTAATTATGTGCAAGATATTAAGATTCGAGAAAAAGTGTAAAACAAACCTATAAAACACACAGTACATGGAATAGAGAATCAACATAGAAAATTCTGTTAGATAGACTTCTTCCACATAGAAAATTCTTCTTCGTGTCCTCTGGATTTATGTTTTACTTCAGTGGATTAAATTATCATGATTTCTTGGACGAATGTGAAATTATAACTGTCTCCTTGAGGACAAAGATGGCGGAAAACATACAAGATCGAGACGCGTGGTCACGTAACTGGTCACATGACTATGAGGAAGAATTTACTCTGATTAATCACAGATCGCAGCACAGGCGTACAGTGTCCTCTGCTGAAAAGAATATTCCTAGAACATTCAAAATGTTCAATTAAATTTTGAATGTTTTAGGAATATTTTATAAATATTCAATATGAATATTCTCGGAAAAGAATATTGATACGGACATGGAATATTCATAGAATTTTGTGTGCTATCTGGGTATACATTATCGATAGCCACAAATAAGAATAAACGAAAAATTTGTATCTCGGAAAGATCCTGCATGTATTTAAATCCTTCGTAACACGACTATGCAAAGGTATTGAATTTAAGGTATCGAAAGTAAGGTATTGGATACACGTTTTGAAATGTCAACGTTCTTTTTCTTTTTTTAGAAAAACGCTATGACTCTACAAACATTCACGAACGACACACATAAGCTGCTTTCCACATAACGCTAGCAACGAAATGTTTGGTCCCTCGTTTAACATTTAATAAACAACAAAGAGAGATTC